GGCAGTCCCGAAGCACATGAAGAATGGTTTCCTCTCCACTCTTGCACAAGGACACACACTAGTCTCACTCAGGTGTCTACGTTTGCGTTCCGCATTTGTCATGATCACCTGGTGTGTTACTAACCACAAAAAAACTCGAACCCGTTCTGGGGACAACTCTCCACACTCGCTGATATAATGCCTCCATATTCAGCGTTGGCGTCTTATCTTTTGTTAAGAAATCATAGGCTGACTTCACCGTGAACACACCATCCTTACTCCCTCCCCACGACATTCTATCTCTAGCTCCAGTTACTTCATCTATTACCACCGCGGCCAATCTAAGGCGGTCTGACGTCGCCATATATGGTGCAATTGCTTCATGTAACCAACCAGTTCCAGTTTGCCATACTTCCCGAACACGTGTCTCCAATCTCTCCTCTGGAATCTCCACAACACTCAACATAGATAAAGGTTCATTACCTAGCCAATTATCTTTCCAGAACCGAATCCGACAACCATCACCAAGAACCCAAGACATTCCTGGAACAACCACCTCTCTTAGTCCAATCATCAGGCTCCTCCAAGTTGGCGACCACGTCCCCTTTGCTTCTAACCACGTTGCATCTTCTACATCTCCCACTCGAAATTTTTTCCTCAGTATATTCACCCAAAGTCCCTCTTGTGTATTAAGCAACCTCCTACCCAACTTAGCTAATAGCGCAATGTTCATCTCTCTAGCCAAGCGTATACCAAGCCTACCTTCACTTTTTGGTTTACAAACCTTCTCCCAAGAGACGAGGTGTTGTATTCTACTCCCCTCGTGGCTCCCCCAAATGAAAGACCGAGCAATCTTATCTAGCTGATTCAGTGTAGATACAGGGAGAGCAATGGTGCTCATTGTATGTACTGGAATCGACGCAAGAACATACTTAGTCAATGTAATCCTCCCTGCCAAACTCAAGAACCTCCTCTTCCACCCCGCAAGCTTAGACGACACCCTCTCAATAACCTCACCAAACGTCTCCTTATTGATCCTCTTATGTAACACCGGCATGCCCAAATACTTCCCCAAATCTTTCGTTCCCTTGATACCACTCTCACTGCTTAGCTAAGTCTCGGTGCACATTCTCAGAAAAGAAGATCAACGATTTTTCTAAACTTACTTTCTGCCCAGATGCTCCACAGAATTTCTCCAACACTCTGCGAATCACTCGAATCTGAGAGACTGATGCCTCTGCAAACAAAATCAAGTCATCCGCAAAGAAAACATGTGACAAAATTGGCCCTCCCCTAGAAATCTTTATTGGCTTCCACTTCTTCTTAGGAACAGAGAGTTTGATCTGATGGCATAAACGCTCCATACAGAGGACAAATAGATACGGCGATAGAGGGTCCCCCTGTCTAAGTCCACGCTGAGGTATAAACGCTTATGTCTTCTCCCCATTCCATAACAAACTCATCTCTGGATTTGTCACACATTGCATAATCCATTGGATCCATATCTCTGGTAATCTCGCTGCCTAAAGAGTGTCTTTCAAGAAATCCCATCTGATACGATCATAAGCTTTTTCAAGATCCAACTTAAGCAACATCCAGCCTCTGCGACCCTTTTTCCTCCTCATCGAGTGAACTGCTTCTTGTACCACCACAATGTTATCTGTGCTAAGCCTGCCTGTAATAAAACTCGCTTGTGTCGGACCAATGAGATTAGGCATAAGCTTCTTTAATAGCAGCACCATCACTTTTGTTATTATCTTAAACAAGACATTACATAAGCTAATAGGGCAAAATTGCATAATCCTCTCGGGCTTAAGAACCTTTGATATGAGCACCATCATTGCATCATTCATTTCCTTTAGTAAGCGTTCCTGATTCAAAGAACTCCAGACTACACCTCGTGACCGACTCCCCCACTACCTACCAAGATTCTTGGTAGAAGACAGGTTGAAAACCATCAGGGGCCTTGAACTTTCCCATAGATCAAACCGACAACTCCATATCCTCAGCAGCAAAAGGTTTGTTTAAAATCACCTCCTCATCTCTTGTAAATGCAGTAAAACCCTGCGGCGGCAGCTCCTTTGTGTCCCTATTAAGGTCCTCCGTTGTTGATTCTATACCCATAGTAAAGGAAGTGCTATGATATTTGTGTATTAATGGATGGCTATATTAGCCTTGGAATGGAGACATTTACTTGTAACCAAAATTTTATTTTTTATTTTTTTTATTTTGTTTTTGTTTTTCTTCTCTTCTTAGAAAGTTGTTTTTTCCATCAACTTTGAATTGCTTTCAGTTTTTATTAAAACAATTTTTCAACCTTGTATGTTACATAATATAAAAACATAGATGTTTTTCTAAACTTAATATGATTTGAAACTTTCAAAACAAACATATATTTTATAATTTTTATACAATTTTATAAAAGAAATTTTAAAACTATGCTATTATATATGTACGTATTGTATACTATATATATTTTATTTTCAAGTAAGACATAAGTTTGTTGTGTTCCTTTCTACTTATAAACATAGAACAAAAATTTCTCTTTTTCTCTCATTCTACCGCCGCATCTACAGTCTAGTTTTAATCTACCGCCGCAACCATTGCCTTTCTTTCCTTTACCGATCGATGTTTCCTCTCTCTGTCTCTCTCCCTCCCTCCCTCTACCGTCGCAGCCACCGCCCTCCTTCCCTCTCTCTCTCTCTCTCACCATATCCACCGTTCTCTTTCCCTATACCACCGGAGCCACCGTCGTTTCCTCCTTATGTTGTTGTTATAAATTAATTGTTATGTACTATATATTCAATAAATATAGTATATAGTATAAGATCAACCATTATATTAACAAATACTCACGTGATGAAAAGGAGAACGTGATATATTTTCATATCAAATTGACACAGACATCAAGACATGGCTATATTCTTAATAAATGGAGCTGCTATGAATATTGGGCAAAATGACCGCTATAAAATTTTCTCCAGATCTATATCCGGTTTGTTTTGGTACTGTGCGATTTAGCGTGTGTTACAAAATTGGAGTGCTTTGGTTTATTTGGGTAAAGATTTGAGATGTTTAGTATTGTAATTAGATTGTCATTTTTTGGGATAAAATTTCAGTGTGATTTATTCATATAAATACAAAATTTTTATCATACATATGGAATGAAATAGAATAGAATGACCATTTTATCAATATTGAAAAATAGACAATTTTTTTTAAATAACAATTAAATGAGATGCTTTTTATATTCTATTCATTTCCATTTATTCTTTTTCATTTTTATTTTGTCAACTTCTTATGTATTATTTAATTTGGATAAAAGTGGTGCTTATGAATGAATAAAGGTAAAAACATAGGATTGTTGCAATTTCTTGCGCTAATTGTGTAGTTCTCTATTCTAGTTGTGCTTGATGAAACGTCTAGTTCAGGGAAAATCCTACAACTTCTTGCGCTAATTGTGTAGTTCTCTATTCTAGTTGGGTTGATGAAACGTCTAGTTCAGGGAAAAAACTACAACATATTTACTCTTAAGCTTTTTAGTTAGTCTTAAAGCAGTAATTTACAGATTTTGCTTACTTTTTATTCATTATTTCGAGCAAAATTGTGTTTTAATTAATCTAAAAATAAATATGTTGATTTAGATTTTACACTTTTTAACATGCGTTGTTAACATGTTCACCGAATACTTAGGTGCTATATTCTTTTGGATATTGCCCAATCAGGTGTTATACAACAAGAAGTCATTTTATATTGGTATACCAGGGCACTGATGCTAAAATTCAATCTTAGTTCTCTTCAAACAAATGTATGAAAATAAAAGCCTCCTAATAAAATACCAAAGCAAGAAAAGAATCGAATCATTCGTTCGTTGTTCTGTAAAGATTTGTTTGAATACCTAAAGAACATTGGAACATCGGAAGCAATGGTTCAAAGAACAAGAAGGAATAAAGAGATAAATAAAAAGAGGTGACGTGAAGGAATTAAACTTTGAAAGTTAAGAGAGATATAGAATCATGCAGAGAAAAAGATGAAAGGGAAAGCAATATAGTGACGGAATAGTGTCATCTTTACATATGTCCAAGTGTACCACCACACCTAATAGTGAACCAACTCATTAACAAAACTAATTTTGTTTTGGATGTCATTGTGGTTTTTTAACATATAAATCCAATCTTGCCTCATTGATGTAACTTTCTTATAGGCTATGTCTTGTGTGGATAATCATGTGTTTATCTAAATGTGATGTTTGATAATGATTTAAAAGATATTGATGCAAGATGCGCAAAAGAAATTGCAGCTTAGCCGAGACTCAAAAGCTACACAAGTGAAATTCTTGGTTCAAGGGAAGGACACTCGACGGTAATTTCAAAATTCAAAGGAAGACAATCTTATTTCTCTATATACTATGCTAGATGTTATACCGAGCAAGAGCGTGCCACTACTAAAACTGCTGACTCGTAGATCCAGTCTAAGAATCGCATTTCAGTGTCCATAAGACAAGAACGACTAACCATTTTTGTATGACCTTTCTTATGAAAATGTTAACCATACATGAAGTATCCAATCTCCACTCTTTGGTATCAAATAGTTTGTAGTTATTTTTGGAACTTTTTCTGTTAAAAAAATGAACACATGTAATATAGAAACAAACATATTTTTAAGTCGAATTTCAACTTTACATTCGAAAGTAAAATTCAAATCTGAAAAGTTAAACCACAAGAGAAATACGCGAAGTATATATATATATAAAAGTTATTGCTCCAAATTTTTCTCAGAATTTTGATTATTGGGGATCTTATTATATTACAAGAACAAGACGGGTTTAATTATTCTGTTCTCCACGCGCCACACATAAACACTTTAAGCATCATAACATAGTACTACTACTACACACTTTAGTGATCTTTTTACCTGTAAATATGACACATCAATATGCTCAACAGATTTTATTGATTAATTTTAGTTCCATTTATTCCGAAGATCAGTTCTATAAATACCTTCTTTCTCTTAGCTTAACTCACTCACATCTCTCCTTGCTTTCCTAAATATAAACACACTTCTTCTTTTTTTTTTTGAGAAAGACACACTTCTTCTTTCATTGTTCATATATTTCTTCTTCGGAGTTTCACAATGGCTGGTGTTGAGGTAATTCCTTTTTCTCATTTTAAAAATCTCATCTCATATTTTTTTGCCATCAGTTAAATAAGTTTCCACAATATATCATTCAATTGATATTGATGATACATATGTGAGCTACACAATCTATTTCCACAACCAATTGAACTACCTTGTGCTTCATATCACAGAACATTTGTGCAAGTTCTTTTATATGCCATTTGATAATCTTTTCATAAACGTCTGATCATGAATATTATGACTCATGATGCAAAGCACCGTCGATTTCTTACCGCAGGTTGAGAAAACAGTACCAAACACAGAAGAGAAGACGCCAACCGAGGCAGCAAAGATTGAGACGCCTAAGGAAACCATCCATGCTGATGACTCGGCCACTGCGGTTGAAGTTGAAATCAAAGAAGATGAAGAAGCACCAAAGGTAGAGAAAGAGACTGAAAAAACTGAGACAGCTCCAGTTAAAGAGGAGAAACCGGTTGAAACTCCGGCAGCTGTGGAGGAGAAAAATGTTAAGCCGACGGCAGAAGAAGAGAAGACTGTTGAAGTCAAGACAGCCTAAGATGCTCGCCTTTCTCACCCATGAGAACATTTCTGTTTTGTTTAAATCCTATATTTTCGCATAATAATAAGATAATCCAGGTGCTATTATTGTAATATTTATTTAATATATAATGATATTATGTGTTTTCCTTTTTTATCTTGTCTTTTTTGGAACAAATCCTTTTTATCTTGTCTATTATAAGACAGTTTGATGTCTGTCTGTTTAACTTAATTACTTAGGATTAGTTCCCACGAAACGCCTAAACTCGTTTACAGACATTTTTTCACCATAAGTTTCCAAATTACATTAGTTTATACATTAGTTATAGAACACATAAATTATGAAAGGTTTCACCTTCCACTCACGGTCATAAACAGAGCCTGACCACAGCTAAATCTAGCTATATACACCAAAAGCACCAATTTACCAACCTAAAGATCAGAGATATATATAGATAAGATTACTTTGATAATTCTGTTTCACCATTTACCGAAGCTGGAGCTGACATGATCTTGGGCGATGAATCGAAGACGTTGTTCCATGAGGGCACTCGTCGGGTACTTTGGTAAACAGAGACGGTAAAAGCAAGTATGAGACGTTGGAAGACGATCATTAGCTTCATGTAACCTATAGATGTACAGCTTCGATGATAACCCTCTAAACCCTTCCACTGGTATAAACTTAGTCGATGTCCAAAAGAAGAGTACACTCCTCCTTTCTTCCTCTGTCATTTTCTTCATAATCTACACACAAAAAAAAAACGATTTAAAAAATTCAAAAATTTAAGTTCCAGGTTAAAAAAAACGTCAAATTTTTTGAAGTGTTTACCTTCCAGAACCAGTCTATTTGGCGGTCAGTCTCTTTAAATCCGTTGTACTCTGTATGAGCTTTCCAATCATCTATGCTTATTGGGTTCTCCCCTCCTCGAAGCATCCCATCGAAATCCTCCAAGTATATCCGTTTGAAAAAGGTAGGTACAGATTCTGAAAGGATATCAGAGAAGCCCTTGGAGAATCGCTCTACATGCTGGGAGATTGATGCGGCAAATCGTTGCTTGATTAGGAGTTTAACGTATTGTTCCCTGTTCTCGCTGTTAACAGCAATGGATTTGCCGTCTGGAAGTAACTCTACTGTTTCCCTTTTCCCCAACTCCTCTGTCTCCAGCTCAAAAGTTAGACCAAGACCCGCGTTTGAATCGAAGAACGCTGGATCCATCTCAAGAATCTGTTTGCAGCTATTGTACATGACTCGATCCGTATCCTTGATATCTTCCAAACTGATTTCCGGGTGGGCCAACTGTGTGAAGAAAACACGGTCGAATAGAACCCCTACTTGAACTTTGTGCATCAAAGCTAAAGCAATCACACGACCAGTGAACTCGAAGTAACTGAGATGTAGTGGATCCACCTTAGATGCTGAATGTAACACAAAAACTTCAATTGTGATTACAGAGCAAAAGAGTGGCATTCTTAGATTTTTTTTTTTTGCTCCTACTAGCTGCTTAGATAGTTTCAACTCACTGATGCATCCTTTCATATGGTTATAGAATCATATAAAGTCTATCACTAAACCATTCAGTATATACATCCTAACAGGACAGAACAACAATCTTTTCAAGAATATCAGACAGTAAGAACCTATGTTCAAGCAAGGTCTGAAACTCACTTATACCTAGGCAATGTCATGAGAGAGCAACAAAGCTAACCTGGATTGGGAGAGAATCTTCTGAAATCATCAGCAGATCGAAGGAAGAGGGCATTTCGGGGATTAAATATCTCCTGACATACCAAGTAGAACCATTCTCTTAGAACACCAGGACCTGTAGCTTCCTCATTCTTAAACTCCATAAACAGTCCACTATGAAGTGACCCTGGAGTCGCGCTAGATATGTACTCAAACGATTCAGCAAACACATTAGAGCGATCAATGAGCATTTCATGCATCTCATCGTAGTCTTCTTTCACGTCAGGAAACAGCAGCATTGCTAAATGCCTCCTGGATTCAAAGGTTGTAGCTTCCTTGTAGTCAAAGATCCACTGGTGATCATCCCCTCTTTTCGCAAATTTCAAAACTAGGGCGGAGAATGAAGCTTTCCTTGTGTTTAGAAGACTAGCTACCTGTTCCTTAGCACCTTGATAGAGCTCACACATTGAATCAATAATCTTCAGAATAGCAAGATACTGAGACCAAGATGCAGACATAGCTTCTGTGTTGTTCACAACTCCTCTCATATCCAACATATTTTCAATCCTAGTCATACAAATGTCCATGATAGTCAATAACCTTCCGAATATCCGATAAAGCTTTCCAATCTCCGCTTCCAAAACAGTGTTCCTCAGAGGCATATCAACGGGAAACACGCAGGGAAGCTGAGCGGTAATAGCCCGCTTCAAAGGTTGCCAAAAGGAAGAAAATTTCTGAACTTCAGACAAACTAGGCCCTGTGTTCTGTAACAACTCCTTCTCCATAACATCAGCTAACTCTGTCACACATGGGTAAATCTCCTCCCCAATCGTAAACAACCTCAACTGAAACTCATCGCATTTACACACCAAATCCAACATCGACCCCAAGGTATTCCGACAAGACACATACAACTTATTATCAGGACAAGCTCTCCTAAGCAATCTACAAAACTCCAACACAACAGGCAAACAGCTGTTCTGCTGATGCATCGGCAACGCTAAACAACTATTCAAAAAGAGCTTAATCGAACTCTTCCCACAAGATTTATTGATCTCCAAAGGAGACACAAAGAGCATCACCAACGCAGCAGGGACCGAAGAATTCGAAAAAATCTTTAAATACTTGGCAGCGGAACGGTTACTCTCCACGGGAATCCTCGCGAAGAACTTCACAAGCTTATTGTCAATATTAGTACCTCCATAAGGATTCTCGCCTCTGTGCATCCGCGAGATTGTTGACATGATCTCGTCGACCGTTTGACAAGCTACTGGATACTCAGTGCTTTGCATACGGCCGACGAGGTGTAAAGATGAGTCTTGCTCTATGGAATAGTGGCTTAGCGTGTGTTCGAACTGTAACTGCTTACCTTTGTAGATAACCCGCTGCTCGGTCACGGGAATCTGAGTCTTTAGCTGGATTCTGTAGTGAAGATGCTCAACGGTGTCGTTTCTATCCGCGTGGATCACGACTGTTTTACCTCCTGACATCATCCTCACAAAGAGCTGTAACCGAGTCGACTCGGAACGAGTGCACGACTCGGGGAGAGAGGAGGAGCACTCACCGGGGGAGTAGAGAGACCGGTCCTGAGTGTACGTCAACGGTTTCTGAGAGGGAGGGGAGGTGTGATCGGCGTCGAGCTCGTGCCTCTTCATCTTCTGGAGGAGATCGAGGCCGTAATCGGAGGCGTAATCGTCGAGTTTACGTTTGTGATTGTCGGTTAGAGGTGATCGGTGAGAGACTGGTGAATCTGCGGCTGTTGAGCGGCGTAGAGTCATCTGAGAGACGAGAAATCGCCGCCGATGAGAAGGATTATCAGCAGAGACAGAGAGAGATGGGGTCTATAGGTAGACTGGTGTGTGTGTGTGTATAGGTGTATGTAAAGGCGAGAGAAGGGGAGAGGTAGAAGGGGGGGGGGAGACGAATTGGGAGAGGTTTAACAGAGAACAGTCAATTCATTTTCTTTATACGCCATCGTTAAGACAGACGCCTACAAAGATTGTTTATGGTCTTTTAAAATAATGTATTTTAGAAAATGGTCTTATTAGGACATAAATCTTGTAGTAATTGGGTGAAAACCGATTCAGTTTGTTGATAACTTGATATCAAAGAGAGTCAATTTTAAAAAGAGAAAATTGGCTAATCGGGCCAATTTGAGGATGAGTTTGTCACCGTATACCTTTGCCCATTTTACTTTTGTCTAAATATACCTTTACCCAATTAAATACAAAATTAACCCTATGTTTATTAATTTTTTTTTAAAAAAAACCTTAATAAAGTCATCTCCTTTCTCAGTCTCGTTCTCTGACAAACGAAGGAGAGAAACCAAGCAGGAGGTTCCCTCTCTCTCCGACCTCTCTCCGGCCTCTCTCCGGCGAAGTCCGGCCTCTCTCCCACAAAGCTCTGTCTCCGACCCGTGTCTCCTCTCTCCGACGAAGCTCCGTCTCAGACCCGTCTCCTCTCCCCGACGAATCCTCTCTCCGACGAATCCTTTTTCTGATTTCGGATTTCAACTTCAGTAAGTGTTTGCTTCAAGCGTTCTTCTTCTCCTACGTTTTGGGATTTAACATGCATTGAATAATTCTTTGATTATGAGGAATATGATTCAAAGTCATATTGAATCCATTAGGAACTCAAAAGTCAGCAACTTTTTGTTTTCAAGCGTATAACTTGTTTTCTTTGATTCATAGGTCAATAAAAGAAAGAAGATTGGACACTCTAGGGAATTCGGTTCACTCAAATTATCAAACACAGTTTTGTCTTCCTCTTGGTGAAGGTATATATGAATGTTATTGTTTTACTTGAGCTCGTTTTGGTTGTTTATTTTACTTGAGCTTGTCTTGGTTAGTTATTGTTTTTACTT